AGGCATCCTGCAGCTTCCTCTCCTGCCCAGGGCCTTAACACTGAGCTATATCACCAGCCCTTTCTGGGACAGAGACTCACTGAGTCTCTAGGATGCGCAGGCTGGCCTTGAACTTGTGATTTTCCTGCTTCAGCCTCCCAGAGTACTGAGATTACAAGCACGTGCCACTGTGCCCAGTTTCCAGTAGACCCTTAACTTATTAACTCAGTTTGTTCACCAGGACTGGTTGTAACTCAAGTTGGTAGAAAAAGGCTCAGACTCCTCCACACAGACTTCAAAGTCTCTCTCCTGTATACTTGAGATATTACAAGCACGTGCCACTGTGCCCAGTTTCCAGTAGACCCTTAACTTATTAACTCAGTTTGTTCACCAGGACTGGTTGTAACTCAAGTTGGTAGAAAAAGGCTCAGACTCCTCCACACAGACTTCAAAGTCTCTCTCCTGTATACAGGCAAACCTGTGTTCTTAGAGAGACACAGGCCCAGGATTTCTCAATTAACTCTACATAGGAAAGGATGTTGTAATGCTCCTTCCAGAACTCTTTAAGGGTTAAACCTGTATGTGAGACCATCTGGAAGCACAAGTGGCTGGCATTTAGGTCATAACTCAATTCTTTGATCGTAAGTTAAAACTAAATTCTGGTCATAACCCAAGTTGTTCAGATGTCAGGCTGGTCATAACTCAAGGGTCCACTGCATTCTCTCGATTCTACTCGTGTGTGTGTGTGTGTGTGTGTGTGTGTGTGTGTGTGTGTTGTTTTTCTGAAACAGAATCTTGCTAGGCAGTTCAGGATGGCTTCAAACTTACTATGTAGCCCAGGCTGACCTCAAACTCATGGTTATCCTCCTGCTTCAGTCTTCGTGCTGGGATTACAGGTGTGCACCACAATACCTGGCTTCCACTCCTAAAGTCAAGTCTTAACTCCGAGCTGAACAAAGCCCCAGTCTCTGCTGGACACCCACCCTGCCATCGCTGGCTCAGATGTGTCCCAGTCTGCTGGTGCTGCCTGCCCATGGGAAGCTATGCCTTGCATCACCCGCCTGCAGTGCTACTGATGCTTGTCTGACATCCCTCCAAGAGCTGCCCATCTCTGGCTCAGACAGCTGAGCTTCTTTCCAAGCAGGCAGAGCCTTGGCCTGAGAGGGGTGAGCCACCCTGGCATGCTCCTGTCCAGGGACTAGAGATATGGCCACAGCTGTGCTTGGGTAAGTGGACACAAATTAAAGGATTACTGGGAACAGGCAGCCACTCCTGACTTGTTTGATTGGAAGGGGAATTAGGGACAAAGGATAAATCCACCCCACCTGCCCAGGTGTCCTCCCCAGTCCCCCTGCTCTGACACCACACAGGCTGCCACAAAGCTAGGCACTTTGCAAGTAAGAAGGAAATGCTGCAGTCAGAAATAGCAATTAGTCAGCTGGGTCAGGGAACGAACTCTCCTTGGCCAAGCCCAGGAACAGCTCCTCCCAGCCAGGCCTCTCCATGCTGGTGAGCCAGCCTCCCCCTGGCCCCCCATCTTTTTTCTATGAACTCTTTGAATCTCAGCTCTCCTTTGCCCAGTTTCCAGGCTTAATCTCTATCTAACCTAACTCCACCTCTTTCTCTGCATGTGTGCGTGCATGTGTGAACCCAGGGCTCTGCATGCTAGGCAAGCACTGTACCCCCACACTGCACCCCCGCCCTTCATTCTCTCCCTACTGAAAGCACCTCCCACCCTGCACCCAACCCGACTCCCACCCCCCACCCCTGCTCCCATTTTAAAATTATATCCCAAGCTCTCTAGAGACCCAGTCTAGGAAAGAAATGTGAAGCTTCCTCCAAAGGCAAAGAGCTTCTTCTCCTTTTTTTCCCTCCAGAGATCGAACGTGGGACCTTGTGCTTGCGAGTCAGGTGGCAGAACCACTGAGCCAAATCCCTGGCCCGGCAAAGAGCTTCTTAAATATCAGGATCCATCATTGTTCTAAGATCCTCCAAATATCCAGGCCTATTTATGCACAGGGAAGTAGGTGAAATTCCAAGCAAACTGGTCTATGGAGCAGAAACCCCCAGGGGAAACAGGAGTTGCATATAGCATGTCCTGAGCTGTAACTGAAAGGGGGGTCTGGAAACAGCAGGGTTTCCTGGCTTGAAGAGCAGAAGATTGAATTTTGGTTTGGATTGGTTTGGTTTGCTTTTACAGAACCGAGGATTAAACTCAGGGCCTTAGCCTAGAGCTACACCCCCGAACCACCCTTTAAAAATTTGTTTTGGATAGGGTCTCACCAAGTCAATATATTGCCCAGGCTGAGTTTGAATTTGGCAATCCTCCTGCCTCAGCCTCCCAAGCGCTGAGGTTATAGGCATGAGCCACCACATCCAGATGCACACCAATTTAATCACTCTCTTTAAATATCAAAAAGCACAATTAGCTGTTTTCATTTTCACAGAATATAGAGACAAAGGCTATGTGCTTCAACTTTAGAGGGTCCAGTGGATCTGAACAGTTGCTGTCCAGGTGATACCATGTCCACCCTTGAAACAGGCTGGCACCGCAGGTCCTGTCACTATGATGGGGTCTCTTCCCAAGTAGAACTGGCCTAAGTGGCCTAACCACATCCTTTGAGCTCCATTTTCCATATGATCAATTACATTTTTTGATTTTTAGTATTTGTGTACTAAAAATGACTTAAATTTCCAAATGGTTAAAAAATTTAAAAAGTATTTTTAAAGGCTAATGCATTAACACAATGAACTAGGGCAAGAATACATCCTGATGCAGGTAGTTCCGTAATGTGCCCGGGAGAAATAGGATTGGGAGATGCTTAAGAATCAACAATGTGGGCCAGGGATTTAGCTCAGTGGTTCCGCTACTGCCTCACAAGCTCAAGGACTTGAGTTCCATCCTCAGTACCAAAATATATAAATAAATAAAAAAGAATCAACAATAGTTCAGCCTTGGAAAGGCTTGACAAGAACCAGAACAAATGGTTGAAAAAGAGCTGAAAAAACATAAATCTGATGCAAATTGAAACAGGAATAAATGCAAATGAAAGTCACACTGCTCAAACAAGGAGAATCTCTGGTTTTGTATATAATTAGGGCAAAAGTAGATAAAAAGAGAAAACATAGTACAACTCTTGCCTTTGGCAAAGTCTTTTGTATTTTGAATATGGACAGGAATGAGAAGATAGAATCTGGCCAAAGAAAGATACACAGAAACAGTTCTGGGTGTGGTGACACATATTGTAATCCCAGTACTCAAGGCTGAGGTAGGAGGATCACTGTGAGTTCAAGGCTAACCTGAATTACAAAATGAGACCATCTCAAAAAACAAAAAACAAAGATATGTGAAGACATAAACCAACCTCCTCATTTGATGGATGAATGAGGGAGGCTAGGTGCCTGTCATACAGAGTCTGGACCTCAGTTTTCTCCTGTGAGATAACTCAGGATGAAATAGGAACATAGCACTCCAAGGAAATAATTCTGCAAAAGTAAAAGGCAATATGCCCATCACTCTTCATTTCACTGGTGAAGCAGGAAGTTTAAACAGGAAATGGTTAAGTAAATTGTTAATCTACCATGATGAAAGTGATTGCAATTACTGAAAAGGATTTTAAAGGTTATATAGAAACACAAAATATTTGGAGGTGCTGGGAAGTGGAAAACAGTGTGATGTGAAATTAGAGACAGTATATTAGTCACAGCCCATTGTGGAGCCAGCTCTACTCCCCGCTAGCTGTTTGACCTTAGGGAATGTCTCATAAAGAATAACAACAGTTATCTAGCTTGTAGGATTGTTTTGAGGCTGAGTAAGAGACTGAGAATGTCTGCTGCTAGCTTTTTTATTTTGTTTTTTGGTACTGGAGATCGAACTTGGGACCTTGGGCTTGCAAGGCAAGTGGCGAAACCACTGAGCTAAATCCCCAGCCTAGCTGCTGTATGTGTTAAAAGCAGACATAAAGACACACAGAAATGTTCAATCAACCACTTTTATCATAACCACACGACAAATACCACTCTGCACGCTAAACCTGTTCAATGGAAAGAAAATGAGAGGAAAAAGTGAAAACTGCAACAGGAAAGACAAGACCATAAGTATGTATTTTCTCTAATAACTGTATGTCATTTCCCACTTTTAAAAGACGTTTTAAGTGGGGACCTGAAAAATCACACCCATGGGAGCTGGATTCTAGGTCCCTTTTTTTTCCCCAGGCTTCCATGCCCCATGGTACCTGCTGGGAGAGGAGGGCAGCAGCAGTGCAGACCCCACAGAAGTAAAACCTGCAAAGGAACTGTCCTAACCAGGTCAGCTCCTAGAACTTATAGTTGCGTCTGAGTCAGATTTATTCATCCAGGCACACTCACTCACTCATCCACACACTTCTGTGAGCTACTGTGTATACAAAGAACTGTGCTGCAAGCTTTTCAACCATCATAGTGAGCCAGATTGTTTGGAGCAGTCTTCAAAATACTACAAAAGTGGAAAAAAGCAAGCTTCAGAACACTGTATAGAATGCTACTGTTTGTATTAAAAATAGATATATAAATATACATATTTAAAAACTTATAAATGCATAGAATTGCTTTGAAAGAATACACAGGATATAGACAGAAGCAATTAATTGGACAAGGGCTATGAGGCTTGACCCCCACTGGAAGGTTATTTTTTATTGTATGCTCTGTACTGTTGGACGTTTGACCATGTGTATGTACTAATTTTTCAAAACAAAAAATAAAGGAAACTGCCAAATCTGAATATATAGCAGTGAATGGGATGGAGGTTCCTTAGTCTTGAGGAAGGCAAAGTGTGGGCTACAACTGTTAAGGTTTTTTGTTTTTGTTTTAAACCAGGCAGTTTACATACATTAAGGGGAAAATCCTTTCTACAACAGTTAGCTCATAGTAACTCAGCATATCATTTTACAGAGATAAAGTAGTTGGAGAACAAAAACTAGGCATTTGTCAAGGCTAAGAGAGTATTAAACGTGAGGGTCTTATCTGTTTAACTTGATCAGTAGACCTCTCCTTGAGGCAGTTAAGCGCCCATTACAGCCAGCATTCTCTGCTGATGACAAATGACAGCACCATCGTCCAAAACACTGTGAAAGAGAAGAGATCAGAAGATGCTGGACGGGGCAACCTTTTCCCGCCAGTCCTCAAAAAACAATGGTCTTCAAATGGCAGAGGAAACCCCAATGGGAATGACCGGTCCAAGGATGCTGCTGCTTCAGCAGATGTGATGTGCAGGGCCCTCTAGGGGTCAGGGGGCATGAATGGTCTTCACTTGGGGACACCCCAAATTTTAGGGAGGTAGAAAAGCAGCCATGGTCACTAAGACACCAGAGGGCTTGATGGGCTCAACACAACACTGCCGTCACAGATGGCCGGACACATCTGTCCTTTCACATCTCAGCCTGTGTTCTTCTTGGTAAAATGGGGGATAACTGCGATGTCTGTGAGGATTAGTGTCACTAGAAAACATCTAGCTAATGCTGGGCATGTGAGCAGAGCTTAAAATACAACATCACAATTACTAAATCACAGAGAAGTAATGCTCTCCACCAACGCTTAGCTGATAAGCAGCATCCTGGGATGAAGAGCCAGAGGTGGATGCTACCTCCAAACCCAAACGTCAAATACAGCCTCTCCACCTTTGTTTGCTTTATAAATCAGAAAGAGCTGGCCTGTGCATGACCTCATAAGAGCCTGTAAGGGAGCTGGATGGAAATACCAGTTCCACTTGGAAAGAGAGTCTGTGAGGCTGGGGTTTTGCTAAGAGCTGGCTGTGAGCAGGCACCAGGCCCTGCCCCCGGGTGCTTAGTGAGCAGCTTGGCATTCCTCCACCCAGGAAGGGGACATGTGTCTGGACTCAAGACAGGTGGCTGAGCCTGTGACTTCTGCACCTCCTCTGCCTGCGCTCAGCTACCACTGCTTCTGAGTGGGACAGACTTCAGGCATCCACCCCACACCCCTCTTGTGCCTCCTCCAGGACCTGATCTTATGAATGGACCCAGGGTCTGGAGCTGGCTCTGGCTCTGCAGGCAGCTGGGGGAGCAAGGAGGGGCAGCCTTGCCAGGAAGAGCAATTAAAAATGCTATGGGTGTCAGAGTCTCTGGAACTAAGGCAGCACCAACCTTTCCTACTGCCATTAGCATTTCAATAACAATCTGGCATTTGATACAGGGAGAAAAAAACTGGTTTTTCTTTCAACTGTGGAAAGGTTGAGCATATTTATCTGACTTAATTTATAACTGCAACTCACACCTCCCATGAATGATCACCCCTAAGAACCCAGTAGGCACCATGCACGAGGGTTGTACTAGATTTGCAGGGACAACCCCAGGCCCAGGGTAGCCCCAACTCCACCACCAGTGAAGGCAGCCCCACCATCCCCCTGGTCTACTTCCAGCTCTGCCACACTGAGTTCCACGTGGCAGAAGCAACAGCAAGGTCTCTAATGCTGCAGGAAAAGGACAGAATTCCTGCTCTCCACCCCCTCAACCATAAAGGGTACCCCTTCAGTGTAAAGCTCCTCTTTAGGAAAGTGGGAGACACCCAAGAAGACTTCAACAGGCCTTACAGTCAGTGCAACCAGCCCTGGGAAGACCTGCAAGGTGACTCTGGACTGGTACGGAGACACTGCTCCTATAGAAGGTCTCTGGAGAGTGGAGAAGCACCGGCTGCTGGTCTTCTCCTCAGGAAGGGCCTTAAAGGGAGGAGGGAAGGGCCAACTGACTCAGACAGGAATACAAGAGCCTGCCTGCATGGTAAGAAGAGTTTTTATTGAAATATAGTCTGAAAAACATGAGTGCAGCCAAGAGAAGGAGGGTTTGGCTTGCTGTGGCAGCGGCCTCTCTAATGGCACAGGAGTGAGAACATACACATCCCCACATCTGTGTGCCCTGAGCCCCACGGTCAGGGAAGGCAGCACAGCAGCAGAGCAAGGGCCCACCCACCCTCAGCGCCTTCTCAAGGGGCCTGGCTCTCTGCACCCTCCTGCCTTGGCCACACCTCCTGTTGTCCCTAGTTCCAAACAACAGTGTGTTCAAGCTTCTCCCACCCACAGAGACACAAGGAGCCAGTGTGACAATTGGTTCTCAGGAACATTTTTAGGGAAAAGCACCAGAAAAGACAGGAAGGAAAGGTAAGGTGAGCGAGGGCCCTTGCCAAGCCGGGTTGGGTAGAGCTCTCTCCTAGAGGGACTGTTGCATGAAGCCCCCTCCCCTCCTTCTCAGGCTCTGTGTGGCATCCCAGGCTGAAGGCAGCCGTCAGGACCTCCCAGATGAGCACAGGCCAAGGATTTGGGGTTCAAGCTGAGCTGACAGCATTGGGGTGGGGCTACATAAGCAGCCTGGAGTTGGAAGGACACAGACAAGAGTTGAGTACCAAGAAGCAGCACAAAGCCATAAATAACAGAAGCGAATTCAGAGCTGGGAGGGTCCTGGGCACCCAACCTTTCCTGTGGCTGGGGACACTGCGCACCACAGCTCAGGGCACAGTGGCCACGCTCCTAAGGGCACAGCCTTTGACTTCCACGGTCTTCAAGGCAGTGAGGGACACTGGAGCCCCACCCAGGCCACACTTCCAAGCCTCTGGTCACACCTGAGGGGACAATGTGAGGCTGTCCTGGTCCTGAGAGGACTGTGGCTGGCTCTGTGCATCCTGAGCCCGGACCTCTGCCAGGCCAAGGCCCAGCGGTGCCCTCACCTCTGGGTCAGCTGACAAAGGCCCACCAGCACATTCCTCTAGTCCATTCTCTCTCATTTCCATGGCTACCTCCTCCCCAGAGCCCTCCTCTGGCTCAGATGCCTCCACCTTCACCTCCACTATCTCCTCCTCCTCTTCCTCCTCTTCCTCCTGGTCTCGCACTTTGTGGACGATGAAGAGGTGGCGGCTGAGGGAGCTGGCAGAGGTGTAGCACAAGCCACAGAGGAGACACTGAGCTGTGGAGCTGTCCGCCTGGTGCTGAGGTATGTGGCTCTGGAACTCCAGCCCCGAGTCCGTGGCAAAGCTACATTTTGCACACTGAAAGAGGGATTTGTGCCTTTTTGGGGGAGGGACAGTAGCGCCGTTGCTGGTGCCTTGAGAATCCCCTGCTCCACTGAGGGGTCTTTTCAGATGATTCACCTGAAAGGAGAGATGCCATAAGCAGAGCCCCCAGACATGATCACAGCCACCAAAAGCCTAAAGGTACCACCCAGGCCAGCTTACCCAGCCCTAAAAACAGCTTTGGTTGTTCGGTTCCAGTTGTATGGTTTTGGTTTGGTTTGATTTTTGTTTTGAGATAGGGTCTCACTCTGTAACCCAGACTAGCCTGGAACTTGTCATCCTCCAGCTAGATTTCAAAGTGTGAGCTAACATGCCTGGCCCCCAGTCTGTGTTTTAATGTAACAGATACTTGTGATATGAATTCCAAGTATATGGGGAAGATACAGAGCAAACTAAGTTCCTTCTACTGCTCTCCAGCTCTCCAAAGAGCACCTGGCTCTTGAGGCCCCTCTGAGACAGCCTATACATGTGCACACACAAACTACTGTCCTCTATCAAGTAGCTGTATGCCACACACACTTCTCATCTTACTTGACAGCACAGGCACAGAGGCTATGCTCTCCTGACAGCAGCACAGGCCCACTGTGGAGGTGACAGCCCCACTGTCAGCATTAGGCCGAGTTCCAGCTTTGTTACTGCCATAGTTCTACAGCAAACCCCTTCAACACATTTCCTTATGCCTAAGGCCAAAGCTCTCCAATGGTCAAGCCCCAGAAGCAGGAGCGGGGAATGGTGTGTGCATTGTGGAATGGGGTGGAGATGCATTTTTCTCAGGAGCTGATGTTGCCAAAAAAATCAACTGATGCCCCAACTATTGTGTGTTAGGACAGCCAGCCTCTCTGAGTAGCCAAGAGTCTTGGGGACTCCTGGCCCACAGGCAGCCCTCTACTGTCTGACATGAGTCTTCTGTGGCAGGGAGAGCAGGCTGCTCCTGGTGTTCCCAAGAAACAGGGACAGTGCATGTGGTGGGGATGAGATCACAGGCAATGGGCCTGGAGAGCAGGTTCCCAGGACTTGCCCAGCACCACCTGACAAGCTGACGAGGCTGCCCTTCTGTGAGGCTGAGTCAGGAAAATGTACAAAAAAGCACCCAAGGGTGCACAGAGAATGGCGCATGCCCAAGCAGGGTGTCAGTGACAGAGACACCAGTAGCAGAAAGCTGAGGAGCTGGCTCCTGGGTCTCACAGCAGACTACAGTGACCATGCTTTGAGAAGCAGTTACTCTGGCTCCTCCATGGCCCCCACCCTCTCATACTTCTCTAGCTGCAGCCCAGCAGGCGGCTCACCTGAGGGGAATGTCTGTCCGGAGTTCTGACTTTGGATGTCGTCTGGCTCAGATCAGGGCTCCTGATCCCATGCATAAGGCTGATGTGGCTCTCCAAAAGGGAAGGCCGAGGGAAGCTGGGAGGGTCCTCAGTGCAGTACCTGCAGGACACAGCAGAGGCAGGTGAGACCCAGCTGCAAGCTCTCCCGGTGCGCTTCACACCTTCGCCAGGAAGGAGCTGGGGTGGGCGGACAGCCCTGCCTCAGCCAGCCCAGTGCAGGTCGGAACTCTGCACATTTGACATCCGGCCCTCCACATGGCCTCGTTCCCCACTCTTGCTGCCCAGAGGCCCCAAGGTGAAAGGGACAAGTACGTCCCGCAGCACAGCACAGTCACCAGAGAGGCTTGCAGTCACACTGCCACACTCTTCTTACACCTCAGGGCCCTTTGCTAGGTCTGGCCATGCAGCCAGGGCTGGGAGTGAGACAGGAAGGATGCCAGCAACACTGGGCCCTCAGGCCACCCCTACACACTCACCCACACGAGTAGACCTTCTTCACGGTGTCGTGGTTGTTTCGGATGTGTTTTCGCAGGCTGTTCGGAGTGTGGAAGGACTGTTCACACTGCCGACATGGGTACCGCTTCAGCATCTAGGGGGAGGTGATGTGTCACAAAGGTCAGAAACAGAAAGTCATTCGGGGGAATCTTCTCAGATGATGCAGTGGGGAGGGATGTTGCCCCAATGTCCTCAAGACCTGTGGGATCCACCCTGCCTAAGGCACCAGTCGTGGGAGTTGGCTATATCAGAAGTCCTACACTCAGAACAGAAGTCCAGACTCACAAAGCCTCACTTACCCGCCCATGGCTCTTTTTCATGTGGGACACGTAGCTCTCTCGGTCCGGAACCCACTCCTGGCACTCCTGGCAGGTCCAGCCCGTGCTCCTCAGCCGGGGCCTGGTTTCAGCCCTCCGATGGGCTTCAGGCCTGCCCCAGCGACCTGAGGATAGGGAGCTACCTCGGGCGGCCACACTAGTGGCCTGGGGCTCCATGGGCACTCGAGAGCCAGGGCGGCCTGAGGACGTGTCCGCTGCAGACTGCAGGCTAGACAGCTCATCCACATTCCGGGGAACGCCGTGGGTGCTCTGGGGATGGGGAGAGCAGTTACTGACTGGACGAGGGGCAAGAGGCCCAGCGTCAGACCCCTGGACTCCTGCCCCGGGCGCCCCACCTTGACATGCTGCATCAGCTCTGGCTTCTGCAGGAACAAGAGCGGGCACTCAGGGCACTTGAAGACGCCCGCCTGTGTCTTGCTGACATTCTGGTAAAAATGCTGCTGAATATGCCTCTTCTTGTTGAAGACCATCTCACAGGAGCACTTATAAATGAGCCTGATGAGACAAGTCCCAGGGCGTGAGGTGACCACGGCTCTGCTGGCAGAATCACACAGCCCCGCCACCCCTGCTCTGCTCTCCATGCCAGGGCCAGGCAGAAAGCCCTGCCCGAGCCCTTGCCTCAGGACATCATTAGCAGACTCCGGCGGCCTGTCCACTAGCCTCAGCTCCCCGGTCCATCCCGACAGCACCCGGGGCCACTCCTCTCTGCACTCACTGGGAGGGTCTGTGGGGCTGGGTGGGGTGCTGGGTGGTGCTGTGGTCCTCAGTACTGCTGGCAGTCTTGAAGGCCATGGGGCAGAATGCACATTTGTGGAAAACTTGGCAGTGTCGCTCCTGGATGTGGCTTTTCAGCAAGGCCAAGGTCAGGTGGACGACACCACAGTGGATGCACCTGGATGAGAGAGATGGGAGTGTCAGACCCAGAGGTGTTGCTACTGGAGGAGAGGGACAGAGGCAGGGTAGGACTACCTTGGGGCCTGTCCCTGGTCATGAGTGGAAGCTCCCTTCCTCCACACACATACCCTGACCATGCTGTGCAGCCTGGCACCAAGTGGGCACCTGAGGTCCCTGGAGCCCAGTGCCACACCAGTGGAGAACCCTCCTTCCACTGTCCAGGAGACATCCTTCTGCCAACCTGAAATCCAAGCCCATCTAAGGAGGCAGTGGGAGGGGAGAGGGAGCTCACTAACAACAGTCTCAGTCCAGTGTGTGGCCCCAATGCAGAAGTACAGAGGAATTGTGAAGGCCTCTGCCTTCCCAGGGACTGGCACCGAGCAAGCACCTAGTCAGGAAACTCAGTACGCCTGGCATAACCACAAGATGGAGCCCGGGAAGAAGCACTCGAGAGCAGCACTGTCTAGAGGACCCACTGTGAAGATGGACACTGGTCACATTTCAAGCACTTAAAAGCCACACCTAGCCGGTACTGTTCTGGATGGTGGGGCTCTAAAGTGTTGTGACACCCCAGCAAGACTGTGGGATGGCTTTTTATTTGCTTTCCATTGAGACATGGTTCTGCTAATGTTACTCAAACTGACCTGGATTTGCGATCCTCCCACCTCAGCCTCCTAAGTAGCTGGGATGACAGGTGTGCACCACTACACCTGGCTCTTTTTATTTCTTTTTCTCCCTACAAACTGCATCTTCTGAGTTTCGTTTTGTTTGGTACCAGGGACTGAACTTGGGACCTTGCGCTTGTGAGGCAGGTGGCAGAACCACTGAGCTAAGTCTCTGGCCCTTCTGAGTTTTGTTTGGTAGATACATATTTTTGTAATATATGAAGAACCCAGGTCCTCGATAAAGAATTATCTTAAATAGTTTTTCTAAAATGGAGGTCATGTGAAACTCATTTAACCTAAAGCATTTCTACAAATTTTCTTCTTTCAGTGCGATGACCCTGCCCCTGCCACCAGCAATTTTGAGGTTCCTAGTATATCTTAAGAGTTCAGCGTTTCCCCTGCTGCAAAGACTCTCACAGGTCTACCCACCCCACTCCACCCCTGCCGGAGGAAACATCTTCCTTATCCTGCTCCTTATGTTCCTTTTGTTCCAAAAGTTCCTAACCCTATGACCTTGAAGGTCTGGTAGGTGTTACAAGAGAGGCTGCTGTTTTATTGAAAGAAAGAACAACCTGGGTTTGGCGATTCACACCTCCCATCCCAGCCCTTGGGAGGCTGAGGCAGGGAGATCACCATGAGTTCCAGGCCAACCTGGGGTACACAGTGAGTTCAAGGCCAATCTGAACTACATAGAGAGAGCCTGTATCAAAAGAAAAAAAAAAAAGAAAGGACAAGATTTCACCTAAGAAGTCTTTGATTCCTGATTCCTGAATATTAACTTTATTATAAGTTTATAAACCAATTTCACAATCCATATAAATCATCCCTGAATCTTGTAATCCTTTTTCTTCCTTGTACAAGTAGGAGTTGGGTGATGGGGGGGACAACAGGATCACCTCTGCAAACAATTAGCAATGAGGAATAGTTCACAAGAACAGGATGTTGTTGGCAATGAACTCTTCAGAGCTTTCATTACTGTCTACATGCTTTGAATTATAAAATTTTTACATAAGCTCCTTATTTTTCTTTTCTTCCCATTAGACAAAATAGTGAAACTTGAGGACCTGGGTTCAATTCTCAGGAAACACACACACACACACACACACACACACACACACACGCACGCGCGCACACGCAAACTGTTAGTACACACAAGTGCTTCATACCACATATAAGGCCATGATGGCAAACCTTTCAGAGCTTTCAATAATATAAACTGCCCACTGTGGCACTCATGCCATAGTTTTGCCACCACTGCTACAAATTAGGAGTGGGGAAAAAACCCACACATTTCCAAATTCATCCAAAGTTGCCCCAGTATACTTGATAGATAGGTAGATAGATAGATAGATAGATAGAAAGGTAGATAGATAGATATAGATATAGATAGATATATATCTATATCTATATATATACTTGTGTATTTGGTATATATACTTTTATGTATTTATTTGGGCAGTTTGACTAAACTCCTACACAAACAATACAAGCATACTTCTCTCAAATGCCACTGCAAATCCATTCAGTGTGGTAAATGTTCATTGAGAAACTTCATCCACTGTAAGCACCTAGTGGGTAAAAAGGACTCGTGCTTCAGGGAAGCACTGACCCCAGCAGGGTTTACACACTGAAGAAAAATCCAACCTCTTGATACAACCTTTGACCATTCTTTTTTAAAAGAAAGTAAACAATTATGGAATAACTGTATGTTGTAAAATATGCAAAGTTTCAGAAAACAGAATATAGTCTGACATTTAACTCTGCTAATCACAAATAAGAAAATGTCGTTATTAAGTCTTCGTAGGAAAATGGATGCATCTTAAGACAATAATGTTAAGGGAAAAAAATCAGACATGCAGCTTAAATATCCCATGGTTTCTGATATCTGAGACCCAAAATACAAATAATTTTAATAGCAAAATAAAAGGTAACAGGAAACAAGGAGATAGATCTTTTGCAAATGGAAAAGGGAGAGGAGATGAGGGAAGGGGGAGGGAGGCAAGAGAAAGGGAAATGAAAAGAATTAAAGTCACATTATGCATGCATTCCAAGTCCCCATGAGGAATGCAATCATTACAACCTGCAAACACACTAATAAAATTTCTAGCCAGGTATGGCGGCGCACACCTGTAATTCCAGCTCTCGGGAGGTTGAGGCAAGAGGATTGCTATGAGTTCGAGACCAGCCTGGGCTACATAGTGAGTTCCAGGTCAGTCTCAACTACATAGTGAGACTGTCTCAAAAAACAAAACAAAAATAAATAAATAAAATTTCTAAAAATTAAAAATAAAAGGGAAAACCTTCTATATTTCTTCCTTATGACATCACTGCTACTTCCCAAATTACCAACAAAGCCCAGAATACATGATAAAATTCTAAAATATATATAATGTATATAGCTACATTTCATGTAAAGCATATCTACTGCACAATGATATACATATATATTTGGCCTTTACACTTTTAAAAAAGCAAAAATAATAAAAAATAAAATAATATTGTAAAACTCTATTGCAGAATTCAGTGAAGTAGAACACATCTATCTTTTTAGAATTTAAAAACATTAATACCAAAAAATGGGAAGGAATGTTTGTAAATCATATATATATATATATATAAAACAAGGGACTTACGTCACAGAACACTTATAACTCAATAACAAGATAACAATTCAATTTTTAAAATGGGTGAAGAATCTGAATAGACATTTCTCAGAGATACAAATGGCTAATAAGCACATGAAGATATGTTCATGCTCAATACCATTAACATCAGGAAAAATACAAATAAGACACTGCTTCACACCCAAAAGGACAGTTATAATCACAATGTCAGACAAGAGCAAATGTTGGCAAGGATATAGAGTTTAAACCCTTTGTACACTGCTTGTAGGAATAGAAACTTGTAGAAAAACAGGCTGACGGGTTTCCAAGAAGTTAAATATAAAAGTTATGATTTGAACCAATGATTCCACTCCTAGGCATATTCTCAAAAGGAAAACAGGCCCACAAAAAAACTTATGCATGTGTGTTCATTAGCAGCAAATATTCATAACAGGCATAACAGGAGGTTGAAACAGCCCAAATACCCATCAAATGATGAATAAACAAACAACGTGGTCTATCCATACAATGGAACAGCATTCAGCCATTAAAAGGAATGAAAGACTGACAGCTGTTACACGTGTGATTCTGAAAAATACTATTCTAGGACCACGTATTATATGAAATGTATAGAAGAGGTAAATCTAAGAAACAGAAAGTGAATTAGTGGTTGTCTAGGGTTGAAGGGATACGAGGATTGGTGGGTACGGGGATTCTTTTTGAATGGTAAAAATGCTCTAAAATTATTTATGGTGGTTGTAGAACTCTGTGACTGTATTAAAAATCATCTTTGTATTCTGAGTATTTAGCAATGCTAACGATAGTAAGTATGCATATAAAAGACAAATGAACTAAATCAAAACTTCTGAAATTCCAAGGAGCAGAAAATGTGATTAAATTTAGTCAAAATTAATTTTTAGAGCCAGGTGTGGTGGCGCACACCTATAATCCCAGCACTAGGGAGAGGCTGAGGCAGGAGGTTCGTTGTGAGTTCGAGACCAGCCTGGTCTAGTGAGTTCCATGTCAGTCTCAACTACCTAGTGAGACCTTGTCTCAAAAAAAACAACAACAACAAAAAATAATTTTTAGAAGTCAAAATAACAAAAGTTCCCAATTAGGAGACCTGACTGGGTCAAAGTAAAGTTGCAGATCCATGTCTTTAAGAGTAAGCTTTGATCAACTTGATCTTTTTCCTGAAAATGACTTCTGCTTATAAATATTTGACGCAAAAGTGGTGGCATAAAAAACAAAACAAAAATTTAAAAATTAAAAAAAGTGTACAGATAAGTATACAGATAAGTGAGGCATATAGGACTCCAACTAGCCACAATTAAAAAAAAATCTACACCTAGACATATAATAATCAAGATCCCAGAAACCCAACAGAAGAACAAAATACTACAGGCAGTAAGAGAAAAGAAACAAATCACATGCAAAGGAAAGCCCATTAGAATCACAGCAGACTTTTCAACACAAACCCTTAGGTCAAGGAGAGCCTGGAGTAAGGAATTTCAAGTACGAAAAGAAAACAACCTCTAGCCTAGATTGATGTATCCTGCAAAACTCTCTTTCAGAATGGATGGGGAAATAAGATACTTCCATGACAAAGAACACCTGAGAAACTTCATGAATCCCAAACCAGCACTACAAGGAATTCTAAACAATGAAGGTAACAACACCATGAGCAAATCAAATAGGCAAGGCAAGAAACTAGAAGGAGGTGAGAAAGAAAAGAGTCAACAAAAGGCCAATAATAAGTCAGTACATATCAGTTATAACCATCAATGTCAATGGCCTCAACTCACCAATCAAGAGAAATAGACTGGCAGAATGGATTAAGAAGCAAAATCCAACAATATGTTGTATATAAGAAACACATCTACTGCAAAAAGAAGCCCATAGACTGAAAGTGAAAGGATGGAAAACAATTCTCCATGTGACAGGAGCCCAGAAAAAAGCAGGGGTAGCAATCTTATTCACAGACAAAGTAAATTTCAAACCAAAACTAATTAAAAGAGACAAAGAAGGCTACTACATCCTTGTAAAGGAAACAATTCTAGAGGAAGAAATGACAATTACAAACATATGCACCAAATATTAATGTCCCCAACTATATAAAAGAAATATTAAAAAACATGAAAAAAACAAATAAGCACTAATACAATTGTAGTGAGGGATCTAAATACCCCACTTTCACAAATGGACAGATCATCTAGGCAAAAAAATCAACAATGAAATACTAGAACTGAACCAAGCTTTTGAATGCATGGACTTAATAGACGTCTATGGAGTGTTCCACCCCACAAAATCAGAATATACATTCTTTTTGGCTACACATGGGTCATTCTCCAAGATAGATCACATACTAGCTCACAGAATAGGTTTGAATATCACAGAGGAAATTAAAGAAGAAATTAGACAGTTTTTACAAATAAATGAAAACGCCAATACAACATACAGGAATATATGGGACAGAATGAAAGCAGTTCTACATGAAAAATTCATAGCACTGAATGCCCACACAAGGAAAACAGCAAGCTCAAATAAACAACCTAATGATGAATCTTAGACTACTAGAAAAACAAGAGCAAGAAAAACACAAAGCTCAAACAAGAGAGGAAATTATAAAGATTAGAGCAGAAATCAAAGCAATGGAAACTAAGAAAACGATACAAAAAATAAATTAATCAAAGAGTTGGTTTTTTGAAAGAATAAAATCGATAAACTCTTAGCTCACCTATGTTTATCGCGGCACAGTTTGTAATAGCTAAAACTTGGAAACAGCCCACTTGCCCATTAGTTGGAAATTGGATAAAGATGTGGTTTTTCTATAAAATGGAATACTACTCAGCCATAAAGAATGAGAAATTAGATTCATTCATAGCAAACGGATACATATTGAGGATATATTCCTAAGTGAAATAAATATGTCACACATGTGCAAATACCGAACAGTTTCTCTGGTGTGAAAAACTATAATAGTACATAAGATCTTAATGATATAATTGACAATGTGAAATAGGAAGAAAAAGGCTAAAGGTGTAGGGGGAAGTGGGAAGGATAGGGGAAAGGTAATAAGGGAAAAGAAAAAAATACGAGAAAATGAAAAAATGGAAATAAAGTGTTTGTAAATGGGGAGGGGAGGGGGGGTGAAGGGAGGGCAGGGACAAGAGGAAAAAATGAGAACCAAGACCTATCATGTAAAGGTACAAGATCCCAATAACGAATGTAACTGTACTGTATACCTAAAATGTACCAATAAACTAAAAGAGAAAAAAAAAGTGTGGTAGAACATGCCTATAAACCCAACCCTGTGGGAGGCCGAGGCAGGAGAATTCCAATTTCAAACTCAGCCTAGGCATCTTAATGGCTTAGCAAGATCCTATCTCAAAATTTAGGGGGCGGGGGATGTAGCTCACCACAAAAGCCCTGGGGTTCAATCCCAGTACAGGAAAAAAGAAAAAGAAAAAAAAAATTCAACACAGAGGAGATTCAGTTTAAAATAAGAGTTTTCTTACTTTCACTCTAAAGCTGATCATTTTTTCCATTAACAAAATTGAAGAAACTAGAGCCCTTAGAGATTCAAGTCTTACAAAAAGGCTGGATAACTTTTGTCAATGAAAATTAGAACATTTCAAAATATTGCGATCAGTAAACTTATTATCAAAACAGTACTGTAAATTTAGTATGGGATTTAATGCAATCCCAATCAAAATTCCAACAGCATAGCTCACAGAATTAGAAAAAAATAATCCTAAAATTCATTTGGAACCAGCAAAGACCTATAATAGCAAAGGCAATTCTAGGCAACAATGGCAATACAAGAGTTATCACAATTCCTGACTTTCAGTTATATACAAAGCTACTGTGATAAAACAAAAAAAAACAAAAAAAAAAAACCAGCATGATATTGGCAAAAGAGCAGACCTGAGGATCAATGGAACAGACTAGAAGATGCAAAAACAACTCCAGACACACTCAACCACCTAATCTTTGACAAAGGAGCCAAACACCTTCACTGGAAGAAAGCCTTTTTAAAAAATAGTGCTGGAAAACTGGCCTTCCATATGCTGAAGACTGAAACTAGATCCTTATCTTTCACCACACACTAACCTAAAATCAAAATAGATCAAAGATCGAAATATTAAAACAGAAACACTAAGCCAGGGTTGGTGGTGCATGCCTGTAATCCCAGCACTCAGGAGGCTGAGGTAGGAGAATCACCACAAGTTTGAGGCCAGCCTGGGCTACATAGTGAGTTCAGGGAGACCCTGCCTCAAAAAACAAAAACAAAACAGAAACACTAAGTCTGCTAGAAGAAAGAATAGGTAGAACAGTTGAGGGCATAGGGTTAGTCAAAGACTTCACAAACAAAACACAGACCAAACAGGAAATACAACAAAGAATCAACAACTGGGACCTTATCTTATTAAAAAGCTTTTGCACAGCAAGAGAAACCACCAACAGAGTGAAGAGACAACCCACAGAGTAGGAAAAACTTTTTACCAGCTACTCATCAGATAAAGGACTATTATCTAGAATATATAAAGAACTCAAAAAATCAGACCTCCCCAAACTAAAAAATAGGCATCTGAAATGAAAAGACATATCTCAGATGAAGAATTAGAAACAGCAAATAAATATATGAAATAATGATCAACATAATTTAAGAACTACAAATTAAAACAATACTGAGATTCTATCTCCAGAGAGAATGGCCACTATCAAGAAATCAACCAATAACAAATGCTGGAGGGGCTGTGGGGAAAAAGGAACCCTTTTCCACTGTTGGTGGGAACACAGACTGGTACAACCACTATGGGAATCAGTGTGGAGATTCCTCAAAACAAGAACTAGAGGTTGCATTTGACTCAGCTATTCCCCTTCTTGATACTGTCCCAAAAGAATTAAAAGCATCATGCCACAGCGATACATGCACATCCATGTTTACAGCAGCACAGTTTGTAATAGCTAAATCTTGGAAACAGCCCAAATGCCGGTCAATCGATGAGTGGATAAAGAAGACATGGGTTTTTTTCCTACAATGGAGTACATAAGCTTCAGACATTTATAGCTAAATGGATGAACCTTGAGACCATACTCTTAAGTGAAATAAATCCAACACAAAAGTTTAAATATTGTGTTGTTTCTCTGGTGTGAGAAATTGAAAGTGGAAATAAGGACTGAAATGCATAATAGATATTGGGAAATGGGAAGAAAATGTTTAAATGGTAAAGGAAACAAGGGAGGAGAGAGGGAGGAAGGAGGAAGGGACAGGGAAAAAGGTGAAAATAGAAGGAAAAAATGGAAACAAAGCTTTTGTACATGGGGGAGGAACATAAGAGAAAGGGGGGATTGGGATAAAGTAAAATTTATTTAAAAATAAAATATTTTAAAAATAAAAAAAAACAAATTTAGTATGGCAAACACAAATAACTTTGTGAGCAAATTAAATTTATATACTTTTTAAACCCAAGTCCAAAGCTGAGCAAAGTGACACACTTGTAATCTCAGCTCCCAGAAGGCTGAGGCTAGAGGCTCACTCGCGCCCAGCAATTCTAGGCCAGGCTGGGCAGCACAGCAAGGCCCCTGTCTCAAAAAGACAAATTAACAATCACCCCAAAACCTTCCCCTTCAAATCTTTCTTTCTTTCTTTTTCTATGTATGTATGTCACACTGAGGATCAAACCTAGGAGCTACACCCCAGCCCTTTTATTTTGTATTTTGAGACAGGGTACCCAGGCTGAGGTTGAACTTGAAATTCTGCCTCAGCCTTCTGAATAGCTGGGATTATAGGTGTGTACCACTACGCTCACCTTCAAAGGTTTTTTTACTATTTAATTTTTTAAAACCCATTTTCTGCCCTCTTGCTCTTCCTATCCTCCACAATACAGTAATATCTGACCATATACCAACCAAGATTCTTGTGCTATTAGGCCTCTAAGACCAAACGTCAGTTTCAAACAAGTTCTAGACTAGGGAGAGGATTAGCCATCAGGCAATACCAGGACAGGGAGCCAGGCAGAACCCACCTGTAGCCCACCTTGCGGGCATAGTGCAGGCAATTCTCCTTGACATGGGTCTGGAAGTAGGCGGAGCGACAGAGGACTCCACACTCCGGGCAGCAGTAGGGGGACTTGTGAGCATGAATCCGCTGGTGTGCACAGAAGCTGCACTGGTTGGGCAGCAGCATCTGACACACCTGGCATGTCTAGGAAAGAACACCGAGAAAGCAGGTCATGAGGTGCCGCAGCCCTGTGGCTTTTCCCGTACCAGCAACCTGGCTCTCCCAGGACATGGGTCAGAAAGCCTTTGCTCTTAACCACTCTCATTTCCAACTTGCCCAGGAACTGGTGACACCCAGACCTCGTCCAGCAAGCAATGCTGTGCAACACCTCACAAGTCAGAGACAGCCTGCCTGTTCTCACTCTATGCCTGTAGGGCTACAGCTACATCTGTCCTGTCATGGGAACAGTACCTCAAGCAGCACCCTGGCTGCTTAGTGAAAAGGAGGGGGTTGTATCCCTGACCAAGAGGTCAGAGGAGGTGCTCATGAGACAAACTGGCAGGGAAGACAGGAAAAGATCTCTGCCTTAATCAAAACATTCAGCATGACAGACTCTCCTAGACAAACACCCAGGGTTTTTGACAAATTGTGACAGAAAAAGAGACATGGGAACAGAAACTTACAGATTAAAAGATATTTAAACTGGGATGTAGTTCAGTGCAGAGCACTTGCCTAGTACCCACAAGGACCTGGGTTCCAGCCCCAGTACCAAAAACAACAACAAAAAAGTTTTAAGACATATTTTCAACCATTTGGAATGATACCCCTTGAATGAATCTTGAGTCAAACAAGCGAGTTTAAAAGAAAGAAGACAATTAGAGACATGTGAATACTAACTTCATAATATCGAGATATTTTATTTGATAAGAAAGTTTTATTAATTTTAGATATGATGTCATCTTTATGTTTTTGAAGAAAAAAAAAGAACTTTATCTTTCCGAGCTCACTATAAAGCTATAAACTAGAGTTTGCTGTAATCTGAAGGACCTGGCGTATCCCCCAAAGGCCTGCGTATTAAAGGTTTGGTCCACAGCCAGTGGCACTATGGGGAAGGGTGAAACACAAAAGGTCTTTGGGGAAGGGTTTGGTGGACCTCAGCCTCTTTTCTTTGTTCATGTCCTGCCCAAATGACATGAATCACAGGCCCAAGGCATCCTGGCCAACCACCCATGCAATGAACCCTCCAAAACTGTGAGCCAAAAAGAACTTGCTTTCTTTATAAGGTAATTTCTTCAGGTATTTGTTTCAAGTAACAGAAAAGCTGGCTACCAAAGAAATATATACTAAAATATTTACAGATACAATGATTTTGGAATCTGTTTAAAAATAATCCATCCATAGGGGAAGAGAAGTAAGAAAATACATGAAGCAAATGGGGGCCACAAGTTGACAATTATTAATGAAAGGATCATTTAAACATTCTTTCCACTTTTTTTTTTTTTTAAGACAGGGTGTTGCTATGCAATCTAGGCTGGTGTTTTGTTGTTGTTGTTGTTGGGTTTTTTGGTTTTGTTTTGTTTTGGTGGTGGTTTTGGCTTTTTTTTGAGACTATACAGTTCAGGCTGGCTTTAAACTCACTTTGTAGCCCAGGGCGGACTCAAATTTATAGTGATCCTCCTGCCTCAGCCTCCCAAGTGCTGAGATTACAGGTGTGAGCCACCACATGTGGTTTAAACTGACCTTGAATTTATAATCCTCTTGTCTCAACCTCCCACATGCTGAGACTACAGACATGTGCCACTATGCTCAGTTCTTCCCACTTTTACATGTTTCAGACACTCCATAATATAAAGTTTTAGAAGGTTTTCTAATGTATGGATTTTAGATGCAGAATAGTGTACAGTGTGGTAACTTTGTCTAAGAGAAGAGAAAAATAACATACAAACAGATGCAAAAAAAAAAGGTAACACGAAAAACTGAAAAGAGCCAGGCATGGTGGCACATACCTGTAATCTTAGCATTGCGAGGCTGAGGCAGGAGGATTGCCACAAGTTCACAGCCAGCCTGGGCTACCTAGTGAGTTTAAGGCCAGCCTGAACTACACAGGGAGACCCTGTCTTAAAAAACCCAAAATATATGCCAGGTGTGGTGGTGCACTCCTGTAATCCCAGCACTTGGGAGGCTGAAGTAAGAGGATCACTGTGAGTTCGAGACCAGCCTGGGCTACATAGTGAGTTCCAGGTCAGTCTCAACTACATAGTGAGACCCTGTCTCAAAAAACAAACAAACAAACAAAACAAAAACAAAAACCTGTTTTTACAACTATGTACCTATGAGAAAGAAAGAACAGAGTGAAAAGATCAAGAATGAAAGCTAGATTTCCCTGAGTATACACTGTTATACTTTTAACTTTGAAACCACATAAATATTTTGTATCATTTTAAAAACTCATATAGCTAGGGATGGTAGGGCATATCTGTGGTCCCAGCACTCTGGGATGCTGAGGAAAGAGGACTGTGAATTTGAGCGCAGTCTGGGCAACTCAGCTTTTAACAAGACCCAATGAATCAATCAATTAATCCATCAATAATCAATCAGGCTGGGAATGCAGTTTAGTGCAAAGGCCCTGCGTTCAATCCCCAGTTCTCCAGAAAGAAAGAAAGAGAGAAAGTTGGGGAGGAGAGGGAGAGAGGGAGAGAGAGTGCGTTAGATTCAGGAGGTTACATTATGCCCATTTGGATGGTATTATGAAAGACAGTAAACATTGTGAGGACATGGAGAAACTGGTACCTTACACACTGTGGCTAGGAATAGGAAATGGTGCAGTTGCTGAAAATAATATGGTGGCTCCTCAAAAAGTAAACACAATTTACCATATGATCCAAAATGCCATTCCTGGGCACATAATGAAAAGAATCAAAAGCAAAGTCACAAAAAAGATACTGTTATGCCCAATTTCATATGAGCATTATTCAGATTAGTAAAAACATGGAAGAAACGCAAGTACCCATCAACAGATTAATGGATAAACAAAGTGTAGTACATATGTACATGATACGCAAAACAGTGTCAGCCTTTCCAAAGAAGGGATTCTGACACAGGCCATAAACACAGATAACCTTGATGACATGCCACGTGAGGTAAACCAGGGACAAAATGACAATTCTGCTATACTCTTTATAGCAGGAGTCCGCTATATGAGGCACTTAGCATAGTCAAGTTTACTCAAACCAAAGAGAAGGACGATTGCCAGGGCCGGGGTGGGGCGTGGGTAAAATGGAAGTTGTCTAACGCTCTTCAAGAGGAAGAGTTCAGGAGATCGGTGACTGCACTTAACACTGATAAACTGTACACGTAGAAACGGCTGAGAAAATGTATATGTATTTTACCACCATTTAAAAAATCAATAGAAAGGGGATTCCTAAAACACTATTAGAGATTATCAGATCAGCTCACAACTCTAAAATCTGTTCACGAAAGGAAACAAAACAACTATCCTGTTTTCCAGTACAAACTATATTTTAGAGCAGCCAGAGTGGGAAAGATATTTTATATAAAATTCTAGCTAGTAAATGAGAAAGAAATTGGAAAAATAAACTCTTGCAACTAAAAAAACAAAGACTCAAGCAGTTATTACTGATGGATACTAAAATCAATAGGTAAAAGATAGGGAGCTTGCCAGTTACTGTGGTATACACTTTTAATCTCACCTACTCAGGAGGCTGAAGGACAGGGATCCAGCCAGCCTCAGCGACTTAGTGAGATGCAATCTCAAAATTTAAAATCAGGGCCGGGGATTTAGCTCAGTGGTGTTGCCACCTGACTCACAAGCACAAAGTCCTGAGTTCGATCCCCAGTACCAAAAAAAATTTTTTTAATTAAATGTGGCACGCACCTCTATTACCAGCACTCTAGGAGGCTGAGTCAAGAGGATTACAAGTTTGAACTCAGCCTGAGCAACTTAGCAACTTAGCAAGACTTGTCTCCAGATAAAAAAAATTTTTTTTGTAAAGAGCTGGGGATACTACTGTCAGACAGTGTAGGGCCAGCAGTCCTCTCCAGGCTCTTGCTGTTCCAAAGAACTGGCGATATTAAAGGTATCATAGGCATGAAAGTTAGGGGAAGTGTTTTGAAATGAAGGAAAGAAGAAGTACTCTAAAATGAGGAAAAGAAGTACTCTGAAAAGAAAGGGTAAGCAGTGGTCTGCAGAAAAGGAGAGAAGACATGCCATGCATGCAGAAGAGGTCACTCACTGGAGGGGTAAGAAGACAGTGGCCACAAGGCCCAGAAGTGCTCCCTATATCCTTCTTTTTGGCATGGGAAGCTGTTCTGTATCCAGATCTGACAGCTCTGTGACGGGTCATGTCCTGGCATCCTGGACTCCAAGAAACCCACAGATCTACCAGGTTGGAGCTGCTTTTACACAACATTTTCCTGCAGCTTTATTTCCTGTCTGTCACCCCACTCTGCCTGAGCTCAGACCTTTGTTCCCCGTGCCTGCACACCCTCCTCCAAACTCCACCTCACAGGCCTAGCTGAAATGTCATCTCCCTGCACCACTGTCCCTACATAGGCAGTCACCATGAACTAGTGCCTCTGAGGCACTTTGTGCAACCAGGTTTGTAATCTGCTTTAGCCCCAATCTCACACTGTCCCACACTGCAGCTGTTGGGTGGTGACAGCTGCCCTTGCTCAGCTGCTGGGTGCTCCCAAAGGAAAGTGGCATCCCTCAAGCAGCCCAGAGTCTTGGGCACAGCAGGCACTGGGGAAACAAATATAGAGCGCATTGGCCAACAATACCAGCAAAGCCCCGGGTGAGCTGAGGTAACAGCTGAACTGCTCCCCTCCCAGGTCCTAACACCCTGGCTACAGGGGACAGAGAGAGCATGTTGGGAGGCCACCTCCTCGATGGGACCTGCTAACACAGACAGCCACCAATACAGCGTACCTCTTAAAACAAAGACCTCAGCAAGCAAAACCAAGAGTTGGAACAAGCCATGGTGAGAACCTGGATAAGAGGAAGAGGCCACAGGACAGACTCATCCTCTACCTGCCCTCCTTTCTCCCACTTCAGCCCTGTCACCAGCCCTCCTAAAGTGTCCCCAACAGGACTTTGAAAAACAGCGTGGCCATGGAAGGGCAGAACAACAACTTACTAAAGACACACTCTTTAAATGAACAGTGCGGCACAGGGAGAGTGACTCACCCACCTAGGTTCCTCTGGGGACAAGCCAGGACTGTTTGACACCTGCCAAAGACCAGGCCTGACAACAGGCTGGCAGGCGCATTTACAAACCACTCACAAAATCTTCGGTGTTTCCCCTCAGGGAAGGCCTGGACTCGTCCCCCAGTAAACACCAGGTACTGTATGTCCAGGTGAGCCAGCATCTTCTTGTGGGATGCTATGACCCTCCACTGCACACGCATCTGGGAACGCTCCCCTGTACCCAACACAGAACCCCTCACAGCAAGGGTCTACTTACCAGCCCCTCGGTTTCCTCCGACGTCCTCTGGAAATGTGCAGCCAGGACTATGTAGTCCTGCATCTGCTTGTGACATTCAGGACATTTGGTTCCGTACCGGATGAGCCTCACAGGGTCTGGGTAGAGCGGAAAAGCTGGGGGTTGGGGGTTACTGTTGCCTGAGGAGGTGCCATGTTTGGGAGATGAGGAGGAGGCCAGGGCCGCTGGTGCCGGGGTACTGGCCGGCGCTGACACAAACATCTGGTCAGCGGCAATGGGCTTTACAAGCAGCTGAGAGCACTGCATGACGAGTCCCTTGCTCTTGTGGTCTCGGGCATGCCGGAGCAGGCTGCACTTATTGAAGAAGAGCAGTGTCTGCGAGCATAGAGTGCACAGTGCCTCGATGTGGACACTGCGCCGGCTGTAGTGCTGGCTCAGACTCTTCTCTAAGGCAAATGCGTCCCCACACTCCAAGCAGCAGTACCCGCTGGCAGGCACATGGATCCTGCTGTCCGCAGGAGGGCTGAGATTCGGTGCATACAGGGGCACGGGGTTGGAGCTGTGCAGGACCTTGTTGAAGACTTCCACAATCAGGGGGGCAGCCTTCTTCACCTGGTGCACCAGGGGCACCGACATCTGTGTGAGCTGGGGCTGGCTCTGTCTCTGTGCAGAGGATTTGGCCGTCACAGATGCAGCAACGCTGTGGGGGACCAGGTTGAGGTTGGCCAGGTGCACAGCTTTGGGCAGGAGACTGGTGGGAGTCGAGGCCTGTGGGGCCATGCTCTGTTGCTTCTTGCTCATCTTCAAGCCCTGGGCCACCCCCTTGGGGACCTGGGGTGCAGAGCTGCCGCAGGGAGACGAAGAGTCACCAGCCTTTGTCACATTCTCTTCCCCTTTCCTGTCACCCTGGGGGCTTCCTAAATTTGTGCCTGCCTCAGGAAGGTGCCCCTCCACAGGTAGGGCTGTGCCCTCTTCCCCTGGCACCTCACCTGGGGCCTCAGCAGTGGTGCTCCCTACAGGCGACCCCACAGGGGACTTACATGGATCATCAGGGTCTGGCAGGATCCTGGTAATGGTCCGTTTGATTTCCCCTGACGATGTCTTGATGGTTTTGATTCTAACTTTGGGGATGGCTGGTGGGGAGCTGGCAGCCACAGATGGAGAGCCTCTGCTGCTGCCATCACTGCAGATGCTCCGTGGGCTGTCTGATGGCTTCATGCTTTTCCGAGTAGCCTCCAGAGGGCTCCGGGGACTCTTTGGTGACTTGGGCATTTTGGGGCTACCTTTGGAACCCTCTTTGGTGGCCCCTGAGGGATCCTTTATGTGGCCAGACTGATCCTCCTTGGTGACACTGGCCACCCTTTTGGCCTGCAAGGCTACCAAGGCTGCAACACACGAGGACAGCCTGGAATGAGCAGGCTTGAGGCGCTGCCTGGGGGGCACGGATGAATAGGTTCCCAGCTCCAGGATGGGCTTCTTGGGCTCACCGACACTGTGGCCAGGCTGACTGTCGAACTCCAAAGCTTCCCCAAAGAATCGACTGGAATCCAGCTCTCTGTGGGGCTCCACCACCTTCTGCCCACCTCGAGAGTAGTCCTCCTGACTCTCCAAGGGCAAGGGCTCAGGCTTGGGTTCTTTCTTACAAAAGTGATCAAACATGTGCAGTTCTGGGACTGGAAACTTGGTCAGTGCCTCCAGGACTGGGCCCACCACAGTCCCACACCCAGGAGGGGGCGGGAAATAACTGTCCGAGTGCTTGGGCTTTATCCTAAACCCATTATCTTTGATGGAATCCTCAGGCTCTGGGCTAGAGATCGGGCTAAACTGGTTGAAGGTGGTTAATGGCTCAGACTTGGGAGGCTCCAGCTTGCCAGAGAAACTCCTGGCACTGTCTCCATTTAAGAAAGTGGAGTCAAACTTCCCACAGTTGGGGGGTTCTGGAGGAAGATCTGTGCCCCGGAAGCCATTGTGCAAGAGGCTAGGGGTGACATGGTCTTTCTCTGCCTCAAAGGACTCCTGGCGGCTGGTGTTCTTGACAATGACACTCACAGCCGGCACATCTGGGGCAGATCCTGAGTGAGATAGGGACACGTTTTCATCCAGACACATGCCTGAGGGCTTGAGGGGACTCTCACTCTCCTCGCTGGGAGTCTGGATGGCCTCCTTGGCATCAAGGCTTGTGGGGTCTGGGATGTCGAAGGCAGCAAGAAGATCATCAAAATCGGGGGTTTTCATATCCCCCATGGCTGGAGGCTCACCAAGGGCTGTAACAGAGCAAGACACAATCAGTAACTACCAGGGCCACACTGGATTCTCTGTCCTACACCATCTTCACATACATAGCTGTGGCACATGCACAGCTGGCACACTCATGCAGAACCCCACATTCAATGACAGGAAGTCACACGATGAATCTTACCCTAAAACGTTGGGAGGTGGGGAAAAGGTAGAAAGAGAAACACATGTAGTATCAACCCTGCCTGGTAGAGCATGGACTTCAGTAACTAGAAGTCCCTGCTGACCTCACAGTGATGAGACAGGGCACACCCATCTCACATGGCCCAATATCCAGGGGCAGCAATCACCCTCTGTGGTGAACGGTGCCTAGCAAACAGCCAGCCACATAGCCCCACCCTATTTTCTTTTTTTTTACTCTTTTTTTTAAGAGAGCTTCTTGTTATATAGTTCAGGCTAACCTCCAACTCATAGCAATCCTCCTGCCTCAGCCTCCCAAGAGCTGGGATTATAGGCGTGTGCCACCACACCTGACCCTACTCTCTTTTCAAGCATTGTTCAATGGTTCCCTCCTTTAGAATACCTCTGATTCATACATGACACCTGACTACGTCATCTCCTACCTAGGCAACTTTTCTCTCTAAGCAAACACACTTGATTCCTTGACTTTTTACCCTAAAGTTGTTACTGGTAAGTAAATAAACCCAAGGAGCAGGGTGACCCTCAAGGAACCACACAGTTATCGAATTGGCCAGATGACCATTTGGGAGAAGACTAAATTCTGCTTTAATGTAATACACAAAAACTAGAACAACTACAACAACAAAATTAGAACAACAATACTACTTTAACTTAATGCCCCTGCTTTCTTCACAATCCCGCAAAGCTACAGAACTATGCAGCCCCAGAGAGCGAGGGTCTAGGAAGAGTCCTCCCCTCACGAAGCTTGAAACTGGGTGGCTCAAGCCTGACAAAAGGAAGAAAGAGCAACTTTGCCATCTCCATTCATCATTTAGCCCTTAAATCCTGTATCTATTTCACCATCTCAGGCCCTTTCTGGCTTACTCATTTCTTATATCACATTAATGCTAGAAATCTTTCTAGAAGCAGATTGGCACAACTCTTAGAAAGAAGAGTAATTGTTCCACAGTGCCAGTTAAGTGGCAAATTCTGGAATACAGGAAGCCCACTTCCAGAAATTTATCCTAAGAACAAAAATTCCCAAAAGCCATATGCATAGCTATAATGCTTAAGCATTAAAACAGCACAAAGAATTCAGATACAGCAGTGCCTTCCTATAGTCCCAGCACTTGGGAAGCTGAGAAGGGAGGATCACTTTTTTGCAGAGTTTGGGGGTGGTACTAAGGGATTGAACCCAGGGCCCTCACACTGAGCTACATCCCCAGCCCTATTTATTGATATATTTTTAATTTTGAGACAGTCTGAGTTGCTAAATTACCCAATGGCTTTGTCCAATTTACAACTTCCCTGCCTCAGCTTCTGAGAGTATATGCCACCTTGGCATTTAAGGTATGTGCCAAGCCAGGCATGGAGGGCACACCTGTAATTCTAGCATTCAGAAGGCTGACGTAGGCAGATCACCATGAGTTCAAGGCCATCCTGAGCTATATGATGAGTTCAAGCCCAGCCTGAACTAATAGTAAGACTATCTCAA